GCTGACGACAGACAGGTTAGCCATAGCAACGAGTGGAAGGATACAAATTTAGAAAAATTTTGGAAATGCAAACAGCAAAGTCTGTTCTGCCGACTCAGTCGCTGTTATTTTTTTCATTAGTAGATCTATATCTGAACAAATCCTTTTTTAAAAAGTTTTAATCCATCTGACTGTTTGTTAGTGTCGGTCTAAAAGGGAACTGCCATTTTAACATCAAATGGACCAAATTCAACTATAATCCAAGAGTTGACAAAAGACTCCTGACAGCTTTGTGTCTGGTGCCCCCTTGTGTTTGTCATGGTGAACTGTCAAGCTGATGAGAGGAATGAAAAACCACAGTTTCCAGGTAATTATTCCCATTATTTCTATTTATCACATTTAACCCTTTAAATCGAGTTAACCATCAAATTAGTCATTTACGATAAGAGAATGGAAAATCTGATTTGTTCCATGTCTCACTATAAACCAAGAGAAAATAAATTTGTTAATATCTACACCAAAGATATGACACTGGTGGCTTTACATGACTTTACATTTATGGCCACATTCTTGAAAGGCTGGAAGTTCTCATGTTATCCTTTAATGTTAAAACGTTACCTTTCGTTGACATTTGCTTCCAGCTGGCTGAACTCGTCAGACACCTGCTTGACATTGTCCAACAAGCTCTGAGTGTTGCTGAAGGCTTTAGACTGGCCGAGCTCAGTGCCGAGGCTGCAGAAGGACTTCAGCTGGCCGGCTTCCTGGTCCAGCTCTGCCCTGACCTCCTGACAACAGACACACGAGACAAAAGTGTTGAAGAGATGGCAGTGCAACTGACTGACTAACACCCATAGTGGCTTAAAACCTTAATATCATAAAACTCAAATGAGGCCAAGCCACAGGTGACCCATTTATGGAAATGTGATTCATCTGCTGACCTCAATGGTTTGCCTGTAGTCATCCACGCTGCGGTCAGGCTGGCCCAGCGGGCTCAGAGTCTTCAGTCGGCTCTGGGTGAAGACCTGGAGGTCTGTCCCGAGTCGCTCGTAGCTCTCCAGTCTGGGCAACAGCCCTTTGAGCTCGGCTTCTCTCTCAGCCTGGATGGAATGTGCTGCAGCATAGCGTTGTGTCAGTTCATGTAAAGCACCCTGGAGTCCAGGGGCTGTGGAGGCGTCAGAGCTCTGAAGGAGTTTGGAAACAGAGTCCTGTGTCGCGTCCACACTGCCCTGCCTGGAGAGCAGCTCCTGCCGAAGTTTCTGAATAAGGTAGAGGAGAAGCTGGGATTTTAAAAACTGCAATCCTATAGCTAACTTTATTTAACAGTTAATTTGTTTTTTGTAAGATACTTTGCATTTTTCCTCTGGTAACAATCCTACCTGATTTTGGGTAAGGGCGTCTTGTACAGACTGTGCTGTGGGTTCCACTGGTCCAGGGTTCAGAACCAGTTTGTCCAGCCAGCTGAGCAGACCCTTCAGGCCTTCCTGGACACTGACAGACTGGGCCACAGCCGTCTGAAGCTGTTCAGCTCGATCAGAGACAGACGCAGAGAGGGAACCAAACCTCTTCTCTAAACCATCTGAATAAAACACGGGACCAGCACAGAACATTCCTGTTGTGAGAACTTGTTTTTACAAACACAAAACTGCCAAAATAAATAGTCTCTCCCCATCTAGACCGAATGGTTTGTGATAAGAAATAAAGGGCACAGATGTTACCTGCAGCACAGAGGATGTCAACAGCTTTTAAGGAAGGAGATTCATCTGTGCTAACCAGATCTCTTCCTGCTCTCTTCACCTTCTCCAGCTGCACCAAGTGCTCGGCCAGCTCATCCTGCAGCAGCTGCAGACAGAAGACAGTAAAACAATGTCTGTAGCGGCCAAGATATTTTAAAGCTCAGGCAAAGTTCCCACATACTTTCCATTTTAGTATTCCAGCTTTTTCATAGATTAATTACTTGGCTGAATTTAAACTTTTTGTCAACAACAAAAGTAATGTAGCAACTGGGAAAGATGGCTGCTGACTACCACAGATTTTTCTGCCTTCTTACTTTGAGTTGTGTTTACTTTATGGTTTATGTCTACCTCACCTGCACTTGTCGTAGTGTGGTCTGCAGGTTTTGTGGGTCTGTCTCCCCACTGGGTTTGGCAATGCTTTGGTTCTGTTCCTGAGTGCTGAGCCAGGAGTGGAGGGAGATGACCTCATCCTGGTACTGCTGGTACCTCTCCAACAGGCTGGACAAACGCCCTCCCAACTCTGTTGACTGCACATACCAACAAAGACTTGCAACAGTATGTGTAAAATTCAAAATGCTGTGAAAGACCAGACTGAGTGGGCAGATTTATAACAAGTCCTAGAAGGCCTTCCAGTATCACCCACCTTTGTGTGTAGGGTTGTATATCTGTGATTAGCATCCTGTAGCTTGTCAGTTACCACCTCCTTGGTGCTGTCCAGAGCTGGGTCTGAACCACCAACTTGTTCCAGAGCTCCTTGAATGGAGTCCAGAACCTTCTGACCAGAGATGGAGACAAAACGCAGGTCCGCCTTGTGGCAAATGACATCTTCAGCGAGCTGGAAATACAGATACATTTACAGTTCAGCTGGGGCCAAATGCAAGCAGATATGTCTGACCAGCAGGTTGCTAGTTCCAGGAATGAAGGCCCAAGGATGGATGGAAACAGAATGTGGAAACCTGACACGATTAAAAGTGAAAAAAATAAGAACAATTTAGCAGAATATGCTTTTAATCTGGGTCCAGTTGTTTTCCTTCAAAGGAGCTGAGACCAGGCTCAGTCAGTATATCCCTACTGCAGAGCCACAGACCAGCAGTTAGTCAAACCTGCGCCACCTAGAGACAAGAAGAGTAACAGCAGCAGCAACATTCTGAACGGGCAGATGTATACAGATGTGCCTGAGCATGCCATCTACAGACAGAGATAGCCATGGCTTCTGCAAATGGATGCAAAACCAAAATTCCAGCAGCTGTGAATTTATAATATCACCGTGGTGCTTTGAACTAGTCTTATTTGACTGAACAGGCGGATGAATGCTAGTGGACAATCTCTGGCCTGTTAAACATGAATGAATGAGTTTGTGACTTGGTGATTCTCTGAGTTTCGGAGTGAGTTTATTTAATTAGACTAATTGAATCATAATAATATGAACTTGTGAACAGTAATTTGTGTACCTTTCTGTGCTCCTCCAGTCTGCCCTTAAGTCCTTGTGCATCGGTTTCTCCCTCCCCTAGGGAACGGAGCTCCTGCTCGTTCTGTTCCAGCCAGGCACCTAGACTCCCGTGTTCTTGGAGGAACTTCATCAGCTCATCTTTCAGAGTCTCTGACCTCCTCAGACGGTCCTAGAAGACACAGTTACAGACACAGATGCAGTCAATTAACTATAGCAAAAAGTTTAATACAAATTTGACCCAATTGTCCATCACAATTAAGATCTCCTGAATAAATATCAGAGCCCATTACCAGCTGGAATTACATGGTGTAAACTTATACATATTAAATACTGGCGTTTATTCAGTGTACCTGGCAGCTCCGCAGTCTGTCCTGATGCTGGGCCTGCAGCTGGTCCAGGGCAGTGCGAAGTCGCTGCTTCTCTTCAGGAGGAACAGTGAAGTCAGGTTGGTCCAAAAGGGAGCGAGTCGACTGAGTTACCTGAAGTAGCTGTGCCTGTTGAGCCTGGAGCTGCTGAAGCTCCGCCTGGCAAAGAAGTCAAAGGTTAGTGATAATACTGTAAGACAGTGAAGTCAAAATACACCAACATAGATGAGAGGTTCTGACCTGCAGCATCTCTGTGTGCAACATGACAGCGCCTTCTGGTACAGGCAATGGTGAATCCCTGACATCTTGACCCAATGCAGATGCAACTCCTTTTCCACCTGGTTGCGTAAGGGAGGACAACTCATTCAGCAGGGAGTCTATCTGACCTCGTGTCTCCTGGAGTTCTTCCACTGCCTTTGCCTTGAGAAGAGAATTGGGTATTAACACAAAACAGGTACAAATAAACAGAATTAAACATTGTCTAAATGCCTTAACTGAAACAAAAATGGGGAAGTGACTGTGAAGACAAGGGATCAGACTGATAGCTGCCATTTAAAAGGCCACATTTCTTTCTTTTTGAAAAATAAAAAAAAAACAGTTCTGCTTGGGTGAAAACACCATGAGGAACATGTAATATACCACATGTGTATCTGTAACCACTCTTCTTCCTACCCTTTGTGTGTTCTGCTGTACGGTGGTGTTGATGGCTGTGTCGAGCTCTGACAGTGACATGTTTGCTGAATCTGTCAGGGTGCTGTACTGCTCCTTCATCCTTGTTAGCGCCCCCTGGAGGTTCTCCCTCTCCTCTCGGCTCAGACTTTCTCCCCGCTCTGCCAGGAAATCCTCAGCAGAGCGAATGGCCTCAGCAATGCCCTCACTTTTAGTCTGAAGGTCTTTCTGTACTTCCTGGACAGACAGAAAACAGAGTTGATATTGTCAGAGGTGAATATATTTACCCAACAAACAACACATGATAATTGATGGGCTTGAGACAGTGAGGATTAAAAAGGCTTCAGGTGAGCAAATTAGAGTAATAAGAAGCTGATAATAGTTTATTTACAGAAATACAATGAGCTGAATCTACATGCAAAAAAGTTTCTTATGTATGTTTCTACTGTTCTGCTCATGTGGCCTTTCGATTTTAGAGGGAGGGAAAGTTTTATACCTTTAGTTTTTTCTGCTTTTCTTGCAGAACGTTAACGTCACCTGACTCTGGCCCAGCTTTCTGACTGGCCAGCAAACTGGCAGTACCGGCCAACCACATTGTGAGACCTTCTAGCTTTTGTGAACATTCGGCTTTCTGCTGTTGGACCACCTGAAAGAAATGGAGGAGGAGACATGGAAGGAAAAGAGACAAAAGACCACACAGGAAGAAAATGTGAGCAAAATTGACAGACATGAATTCGTGTGGAAAAATCTTGTCATAAGCAATTATACTGGATCATGTGACAGAAACAGACATTTTGCATTTTGACCTAACAAGCAGTTTTTATACTTCTTAAAATAAGAGCACACTAAACACACATTTGCCCCTAAATTCTTGTGTAGTGCCAAGATTTGAGCAGATTGTGTCCAGAGTTCACACTTGCACACACAGGCAGACAAACAGACGCACACACAGTATTTTCACTTGAACATGTTGATCAAGCAATAACAAACAATACAGAGAGAAATCAAACAAACATATTTATCTACTAGCTGTTTTTCCCCCTCTCTCTTCTGTGTTCAGGTGAGACAAGAGGAAAAACAGTTAAGCACTGTAGCCAGCGAGACTTTTCTGCTTTTGGGTGTCTAGCCTTTACCGCCGTGACAAGCGATTTCCTTCAGCGGCAATCTGCAACAGCAAGGCAAACAGGTTAATAATACACATGTTATGGAGACATGCAGAGTAGCAAACACACTCGCAGTGGTAGGAGTAAGAGTGGTGACACTGTCATTGTCAAGTGGCAAAGCTTTGAAACAAGAGCAGCGGTGGGTTGCTATCAAGGTATGAAATGATGAGAGAAGGTCTGAGATGATGTATTGTGGTATGAGAACTGTGTTGGAAGTTAGCAAGTTTATATCTGACTTTTCCAGTTTCTAGTCTTAATGAATCTGATGTGATTATTTAGAATGTGAGCACTTAACACAGCGGCACTGAAATCTTGTGAAAGAAAGCATGATATTTGTTCACAGAATGCTAAATCAAGCTGAATATGAGAAAGCGCGTTGCACTTAAACAGATTAGTGAGACACAGTTCAACATTTCAAACCAATCTGACTCAATCGTCTTTTTCCAAACCTCTCTCTCCCATGCACTCTGCCTTTCTCGGTCCTTCTCTTCTTCCTTCACCCGCTCCCTGCGCTGCCACTCCTCCTCCCTCTCTATTTGGGTGGAGAGGGCTTCGGCCCAGGCCTGGGCTTGGCCAGACGCTCTGTGGAAGGTCCTTTGGAGCTGCTGAAGCTGCCCCAGAAGCTGCCTGCTCTGCTCAGGGCCCAGGTCCTGAGCTCGCTCTGAGATGAACTCCTGAATGCCAAAGGCCACACTGCTGACCTCACTGGAGCGAGCCATCAGAGAGGACTGGAGCTCCTTAAAAAGGGAATGAAACAAAAGGGAGCAAAGTATTAATCCTGCATAGCTCAAAGGGGAGAGCAAAGAGATGAACAATGTCACTGTTAATGAACAAGCCTCTAACAAACAGAACATGCTTCACAAGATTTAATAAGACTGTGCATCCCTCTACCTTCTGCAGATCCAGTGTCTTATTGCAAACTTAGGACTAATTATTGCAGAACAACTATGCATTTAAAGTTTAACAATGTACAGTGTTTTATCACAGCATTCCTTCAAAAACATCATGAATAAAAAGCTTTTCTTCAGTTCACAAAACTTGCCTTGCAAAGATTCAGCTGCTGTGTGAGCTGATCACAGCTGTCATCTGCTTTCTCCATTTTCTCCATCCTTGCCATTCCTCCATCCATTTGAGCCTCTGACTCCTTCAACCAGGACAGCAGACTCTCCACTCGTCCTCCCAGCAACTTCTGCTCAGCAGTTAATGCCTCCTGAGAGAGTGGTCAGCGCGATTAAATACTGTAGGGCTATTGAGTATTATAGCTTTGCCCTATAAATACCAACATCTACACAGAGGCAATGAGAAACTTTCAGGGCACACACAGGATAACTATTCTTCTCATAAGGCTTCCACATCACCTCTACAATATGACCGAATAGCCTACACTTGTTCTTTCTGCTTTTCACTTGACTGCTTCTTTTACCTTGGATGAGTCTCTGTGGCTTTGTAGACTTTGCAGAATGCCCTCACAGAGTGCTCTGCCAGCCTCATACCCTCGCGCCAAGCTACGTCCGTCCTTCTCCAGAGCCAGTAGGAGCTGTAGAGGAACATCTTTAGGTTGAGACTTCAAGAGCTGCTCAGCAGCCTCCACTTCCTTTGTGATCTCAGGTTCCAAGTCACGCAATTCAAGCCCCAGAATCTGAGAGACCGATTAGGAAAAGAAAAAAGTATTCTTGATACTGTGTGGCAAGACACTAATCCTTAAATCAGCTTTGCTGTCTGCCACACACTGGTAATCAAATGCAGAACTAAAACAGAAAAATACTTTAAGTATCAAGTACAACATAACTCTAGCTTTCTGGTAAATGTGCCTATTCTTTCACCTCCGTCTGTCTGATGACGTCATCCAGGGCGATGAGGCTGCGGCCTACAGACTGCTGTTGCTGCTGCTTTAGTCGGACTTCAATGTGTCTCACCATGGAGACCAGAGCTACAATTCGCTGGTCATGCACCAAGCATTCCTGACGCATTAGTGATGCCTGTTGGAATCGAAACGAAACAAAATAGACAAAATGTAGCATGCTTGAAATAACCTTTAAAATGTATCTGAACAAGTTTTATATACATCTATATAACATTTAAGAAAGAATCCTTCCTAAATGTCCTACACTTTCTTACCTTACTGGTGACGGATGTCATTCCCTCTTTGCTCGACACAATTTCTCGACTCTCTCTAACAGCATCCTCTTCCTCTGTGCAGCTCTCAGTGCCTGCATCTGTCTCTGGGACTGCAGGTGATTCAGACTCAGGTGAGGCGTCTTCTGACACAAAGGGTGCTGATTCTGGAGACTCAAGTTGTTGCTGTTGATCGTTTAAAGATTTTGACTCAGGAACACTGGCACTTTCAGCTTGGGGTGGTTGATGCCCCTTCTTCTTTTTACCTTTCCCAGTTGTTTTGTCTTGTGTGCCAGGAGCCACAGACTGAGCTGTGGGTGGGATGAGAGATTCACCAGCACTTCTGGTTTCTGAAAGGGATTCTTTTGATTTGTCTTTCCCAATAACTCCTGCCAGTTGCATGTGTTCTTCAGTGTGAGAACTGGGTTCCTCTGATTGATGTAAATATGGTGGACTCTGCTGACTGGTCTCAAGTCCTTGAGTACTAATTTCAGAGTTCTCCATCTCATTTGTTCTGTCACATATTGAAGGCTGGATTATGTCACTGACTGAATGGCTGCCAGTCAGTCTGTCCATCCTCTGCTCCTTAGTCAAAGCTGAGCTATCTAAATCTGGCAGTGGTTTTGTCATTGTAGATTTTGTGTTAGCTTCTGTCATTGTCACCTCAGAATCAACTTTATCAGTCTGTACCATCCCAGTATGAGGCTCAGCTTTGTCCATCACTTCTGAACTCTTGAACTTCTTACTCCTCTTACTTCGCTTACTTTGCTGGGTTTCTTTAGGTTGGACCGGTGAAGCTGTCTCTGGAGCTTCTTGTATGCCTTCCTTTCCAAAATTCCTGTTCTTTTCTTGCTCACTTGAAGAAGCTTCCAATACATTGGTCTCATTTTCCTCCTTGATAGAAAGTTTCTCAACAGTAATACCTTCTTTGCCATTTGTCAATTTCATTTTGTCTTGTTTGATACCCAACTTTTCCTCACTCTGTCCTGGCGAACCGTTCAGTCTCTTGACCCTTACATCTCTGACAACATGACTCTCCACTCCATCAACCACAGCTGGCACAGTTTGTACCTTTACCGAACTAACAGGTGTGTCTTGATTCCCCTTCTTTCCTACCTCCTTGCGGAATGCCAGCAGCTCCTCAGCAGCCTGCTTCTCGCTCACTCCTTTTTCAAACACCTTTTTAAGAATGCTCTCTTTGGCTTTCAGTATCAAGGCTGCTTTCTCATCATCTGGTAAAGCTGATTTCTTTGGCAGTTCTTGATTTTTCCTTGTTTTTACCTCCGGACTGCGCTCAGGTTGTTCTGGTTGCTGAGAGACAGAAGCCTTCTCTTCGCTTTCCCTTTTCTCCATCTCCCCTCTCTTATCACCCTTTTCTATATCCTTCAGTAACACAATTTGTACTGCATCTTTCTCTGGCTCAGTAGCATGTTCAGTAAATTTTACAGTGTCTGGAACTACCTCCTGTCCCTGTTTTACTAAAACATGTTCTTCTTTAATTTTCCAATCAGTCTTTGGTTTAATTTTTCCACTGGGAGGGCTTAGGGAAGCTATCTCACCATGAATTTTGTATTGTGATGCTAACTCATCTGTGACTGCTTCTGTAACGGTCTGCCCTTTATGTTTTGCATCAGCTTGCTCAATTTCAGATGGAGGTTGTACTTCACTCTCTGCTTCTTTACCCTTTCCTTTCTTTTTATTCCTCCTCTTTTTCTTACTTTTGCTTTCTATCTCTGTAGATAGAGCAGTCAGTACCTGCTCTGACCTCTTGTCAGTGATAGATCTTATCTCAATCGGTAAAGCTTCCTCTTTCTCCACTTCTTTACTATCTAAACCATCAACCCTCTGTATTGCTTCAGCATTCTTTCTAAATTTCTCTTCGTTCAGCTTTGACAATTCAGTGCTGCCTTTGTTTTCTCTGTCATCTCTAATCTCTGCTGCCACAAAGTCTGTCAGATTTTCAACTTGGGGAACATCAACCAGTGACCCATCACTGGGTCTGGACTCCCTTCCCACAACCTTCACAGGTTCCCCATCTGACTCCAAAACCGCAGCCCCTTCTCTAACCTCTTCCTGTGAATCTCTGTCAAGACCACTGGCATGCAACTGCAGGGATTCTCCAACATAATCACTGAAAATGCCCTCTTGCTGTTCATCATTACTAGTACTCTCACAAGGCTCCTGTTTGGGAAGATTCTCCGATTGGCTGGTGTCTTCCCTTGGTACTCTCTCGTCCATGGCTTTCTGAACTCTTTTCTCAACATTAGCTACAAAATTACACAAGAGGTCTATGGACTGATCTGGCTCAATTAAAGACTCTTCTCCTGCTGACAGTGGTACTTTTACTTTCTTCTCTTCTGCAGTAGCATCATAAATCAGTGACTGATCAGGCACTACAGATATTAATGGCTTTTCATCATCCTGTGCAACTTCTAATATTTGTTTTGAAAGTGGAGATCCTGGCACTACATCAGTGTTTATATCTAACCAGTTTGCTGGACTGTCTGGGCTCAACACTGACAATTTAACAGCAGGGCTGTATGTACCATCTGATGAGGCAACAGGTGTAGAACTACCCTCATCACTTTCTATCACCACAGAGGCCACTTTCTCCTGAATCTCGGCAGCGGTGTCACTGGGTATCAGTCCAACTGCAACAGCATCACTGAGATTAGAGACTTGTTGTCCAGTGGCAGGATCAACTGAGCCTCCTTTTAAAATCTGGTTGGTGGCTATTACCTTGATCATATCATCTCCAACTAAACCTCTTTTAGAGGCTTCAGACAGGGAGAGTCTTTCTCCAATATTGATATCAATGATCCCTCCACTATCTGCCTGGCTTTGGAGCAGTCTCAGTGCTGGAACTGGGTCAACTTGCTTTGATTCAACTGCCTCCAAAAGGGTCAAATGGTCTCTTGTGTGCTCATTCTGAATACCTCTGAATGGCCTCACCTCCAAGAATCGTTTACCTGTTTCAATATCTATCTTACCCTGGTTCACAAGTTCTGAATATGGCACAATGCGTGCAGTCTGGGGATCAAGTGGTCCTTGTGTTACTGTGGGAGAAGCCATGGCTTCTTTCGCAATGTTCTCATCCAGGAGACCCCTAGAAACAGCCTCTGTCAATGTCAGTTTACATCCAGACTCAGGGTCTAAAATAGCTCCTGTTGATGCTTGCAAAGCAACAGCTTCTGGGTGAGATGAAGGGCTGACTTTTCTTTGGGTGACCCACTCTAGTTCCTCCAGCCCCGGAGCAATGGACCGATCCACTAGTCCTCTATCTACAGCATCAGAGACTGAAAGCCTCATTCCTGAAGCATGATGTATTATACCACCCTCAGCCACCTGCCTTGCCAAAACCTGATAAGCGTCCTCTGACCTAATTAAGCCTTTCTGAATTGCTTGCTCCAGAGGAACTGGAGACTTAGTCTCCGGGTCAATAACACCTTCCATCTGTAGCTGTAAGCTTGCTTTTGTGAGAGCTGTTGATAAATCTGTAACTTTACCTTTGTATGCCTTCTCTAAAAACACCAGTTCTTCTCTTTGTCCCTCCTCAATGAGTCCCAGGTTTGCTGCTAAAGTGACAGAGACTTTTTTATCTCTGCGTAGGTCAATGATGCCCCCAGAGACCACCTGGGCTTCTATAAGTCGAACAGCTGTGTTGGAGTCAATCAGCCCTGCCTCAGCCGCCTCCCTTACCCCACAGATCTGCCTTTTGTCTACATCCACAACCCCTGCAAGGGTTTTATCTGACTTGAGAACACTCCACATCAAATCTTCATCTAATAAACCCTCCTGCATAACATCATCCATGCTAAGAGAATTGCCACTTTTGGCATCTAGGAAACCCCCAAACAGACCTGCCCTTGCCATTAATTTAACTGCAGTGTGGCCAGGGAGGACACCCTGAGCTACTGCCTCATCTGGAAGGAGCTTTTCTCCATCTGCTGTCATCAAACCTCCCTGTTTGAGCTCTAGGACTAACTTTGTCATTTCAGCTTCCTCCTCTTCCTTTTCAACTGCTGATTCAAGAATATCAGCATAAGGTTTAGCAATCTGTGAGTCAGTCTCAGTCACAGGAACCTTTTGTTTGATCCTTTCTGATTCAGTCTGGAAATTATTTATATCTTTCCTATGTTCCGATTCTGTTAAATTAACATCTTCATTAGTTTTTGCTCCCAGAAGGATGGGCTCTTTCAATATCAGCCCTTCAATAACTTTTTCTGCTTTGAGTGGTGATGTGACTGTTTTCCTATCTACTGTTGTGGTTGCACTTCTAGTCTCCTGACCACCACTATCCCTGGGTTTGGATTCAGTTGCTACCAGCTCTGCCTGGTCTTTGGCTGAAGTCATTAAACCTTCAAACTTGGGTATTTCTTTCTCTTTGGCTTTTACTGTTGCATCTTTAACCAAACTGATTTCATCTTTAGTCACAAAGGCCAAACCACTCTCTACAATTACCGATGGTTTCTTTAGCAATTTGTCACTTCCTTCATCATACAATTCTTCTAGCATGCCTGAACCATCAATCCCAAAATACTTGCTTTGTGTGACTACAGTGGAACTTTCTTCAGTTTCAATTTGTCTGTCACTCACTCCTTTATCTGGCAAACTAAACTCTCTCACCATTTGAAACTGGTCCTGCTTCTCTGTCACCAAACTGCTTAGAGGCTCAACTTGACTTTCATGTACAGCATCTCCAGCAACCAGTTCAGTAGCTCTGACTAACTCCACTAGCTCAGGGTCTAGCAGCAACAGCCGCTTCCCAGAATGAGCATCCACATAGCTATGAATCATGAGGTGAAATAACAGCTTGTGTTTTGATTGTTCTTCAAGATTCATTCCATGTGTTGGTGTAACATCCCAAACATGGCTCCCAGCACATGATGAAGGGAGAGGGGAGGATGGAGGTGTAGAAGAGCTGGTGGAACCCAAGCTCAAGCGGTTTAGGGATGGGGTACCACACTGATTCATGTTGAGGAGAGCATCTGGGATGCGAGTGTCTTTGAGAAAATGGACTACACTGGGCCCAAGGGCCTCTTTAGCGGCCTGGTTCAGGGGTAGCACCTGAAGGGTTTCTGGGTTGTACAGACCCCCAATGGCATGACGCTGTGCTAGGATCTTTCTTGCTAGCTCCCCTGAGATCAGTCCTTGTTGAAGAGCCTCAGCAATAGGCATAAGTTCCCCAGATTCAGGCCAAAGCAGTCCCATGAAAGCCCAAAGAGACTCAAGGACTAACAGAGCCAAACGAGAAGAGAGAAGGTCTCTGTGAATACTCTCTTCCAATTCCAGGCGTTCCCCGCTGTAAGGATCTAGAATTCCACCATTTTGCAGCTGTCGTCCTAAAATGGCACATGCTAAATCTTGATCCATAAGCCCGTGACGAACAGCCTCATCAACTGTCACCCGGTGGCCAGAGCGTGGGTCAGCGATACCACCGGCAAACAGCTGAGCCTCAAGAAGTCGTACAGTAACTTTTCGATCAATTAAACCTTCTTGAACTGCACGGAAGATGCCGACTTTTCTTCCGGAGCGGAGGCAGACTGTCCCTCCTGGTTGCTGTTTGACAGGGAAGAGAAGGAGACCTGAGTCATTGTCAAGGACACAGCGCTGTTGGAACTCATGTAAGTTTAATTTTTCTGCTGTGTTTGGATCAATCAGCTCTCTCTGTTGTAGCCTTGAATGGAGTTTGGTGATGGTTCTGGGATTCAAAAGTCCCATGTCTTCTGCTTGCTCCAAACTCATCATTCTTCCTGTTGAATCTCTCAGGCCTCCAGTGTTAATCTGGAGTTCCAGAATACGAAGTCCCACCTCCTCTCTGAGTAGTCCAGTCTCCATGGCCATAGCTACTGGCAACACATTTCGCTGTTGGTCACCTGCAGACTTAGCATTTTCCATCAAAAGTAAGGCACTCTCTAGCTCAGAAAGGGACTGTCTGGCATGGGTGTCAATTAGGCCTTGAGCTAGACCATGTTCCAGTGAAAGACTGAGAGGGGAGTCAGGCTTGGCAAGTCCACCCATAATCAGCTGGGCCTCCAGTAGGACATGGCAGGTGTCCTGATCAATAAGACCACGCTGGGCTGCTTGGAACACTGGAAATGTTTCCACTGTTCCCAGGTCGATTACTCCACCAATGACAAGTTGGTTCTACAGAAAAAGAGAAAAAATTCTAGCTGACATTTGTTCTGCTATCAATGTGCTACGGCATTTTGTTATGTTTCTACTTTATCATTATGCTAAAATATTATTGGTTATTACATTATTATGGGCAGAATCAGAAAAAGAAGAAAATACACAACCAGTTGCCACAAAAATAACAGATGTAGATTAAAAAAAACTAATAGCTTATTTGTGCCAATCAGGAATTAGATTCTGATTTATTTCCCATATTTTAATTTCTCTTTTTCTTTTATGATAAAAAGCGCTTTAATACCTACCGCCGCTATTCTAAAACAAGCACTAAGCATGCAACAAAGCAACTAGTAACAAAAAATGCGGAAAAAAGCTCTAGATCAAGCAAAGGCAAAAGAACACAGGTATTCAGAAGAGGAGGAGAATAAAATATCTAAATGAGACTAAACTTGCATGCAACGGTAAGAGAGAAAGCGAGCGCTACTTACCGTACGGGCTCGTCCCGTGGCACACACACTAACGGGCCAGCTTTTGGCTCAGCAGAGCGAGGCGCGATAGGTGAGAAGCTGGTTGTTAGCTTTCTGCATGCCACTCTTCATTCTGACTCAACACTGTATTCACACTAAATCCCCCTGCTTACCCTACTTTAAACTGAAGAGGGCTCTGGAAATTACAGTAAACTATGACTTTTTCTTCTAGATTTCCTTTAACTGACAAGGTGGGAGAAATTATTGATATGGCTAATTTATCACAGTCCACACCATTTCAAGGATGTTTGTCTTTTCAGATGTACAGATATTGAAATAAATAGAATATTATCTTGCAATATCCCATGTGTCACATAATCACTTGTTACCTTATGATACCTACTTAAACTGGGCAGCAAACTGACATAACTCATTAACATAACATATTTAGGATGTCTGCAACTGTCCTGTTTTGTTCCCAATGTCTCATTCTGATCCTCAGCTCAGGGCTCGGATGTCCACAATTCTCCTTTGGTAGCTGTTAGTGATTTTCAAGCAAAATGCTGGTTTAAAGTTTCACACATTAATAGTTTGCATTAGGACAAACACAAAACTTCTCATTTACACACACGCATACACACACTTGTGATCTGGACACAACATGCTCAAATGGTGAGGTGTTTTGTTGCATAGCTGGCCTCTGGTGCACTTACACTCGAAAACAAACGTGACTTTTAAAAACCTTCAGTGCTTCGGTGAGTATTTTTAGTGACATAAAAATACCCAGTAAAAAAATACAACAATCAATTATGAGGTGCAGCCACAGAAACATATGAATTATCATCAAGGATTGCCTGAAACTGGAAATTATCACACACATTCAGTTAATTGTTGGCTGAAGTAAGACACTACATATAGCAGGAGAGAAACACCACGTTTCCCATTGGTCGAGTGTACATGTATACATGAAAATAATGCAGTAAAATAAATCCTGAAATGTGATGTGCTGACTTTATGCAGCAGCATTCTTTTACTACTGCATTAAGAATAGTAGCATGATACAGTTTTGTAGCTACAGACATGACAAATGTGAAGCATCTAGTACTTCAAGAATGATTATTTCTAACAATGGATGTATGAGAAGTGGAGCTCTACAGCTTTTACCTAACTGCTAGCATGACTGTGCAGCACCACTAAGGCCATGTATTAACCATGTTAGCAGTGCAGCAGATGTATTTTCTGGTGATAATGTCAGGGATGATTTACATGAAATAAAATATGGTGGGTACAGTTAATGACATGGCTGCAGGCTTTTATGAGAATATGAAAGTGGAACACTTCATGCTGAGGCCCAGTTCAGACAGTGTCATCCAGTGAAATCTGCCCACATTTCCTCACACTCTCAATAAAAAGTGGGCTGCAGATATGTTTTATGGCATAGACAGCCACATTGTTAGATTACTTGAATTGAAAACATGTTCTTTAATGAGGAGGAGGTCAAACAAATGTGTCAAAAAATATGATCTGAACATGTCTGAAAAGGGTCTGTGACATTTGTTAAACCAAACCAAGTCAATGAATGAGTTTCATCAATAGTGGTGAATGTCAAAAATGCTCAATCTGTGAACACACAACATGCTATAAAACACACACACACACACACGCTGGCCCACACAAACTCACACTTAGCTTTACACACACTGGCCCACACAAACTCACACTTAGCTTGCAAGCAACATTTTTTAAAAATGCCTTCACAATTGGGTCAAGTTTTCATAAGCAGAATACATTATGCAATACATTTTCCATAACTCCCTTCCCTATCACAGCCCATCCCTCCAACCAATATACCTTTCTTTCCTCCTCTTTGGCCAGTTGTTGCTCCAGCTGCTGCAGCTGCTGGGTGGAACTGTCACACAGCTGGTTGTAGGTGGTTGTTAGCTCATCCAGCTGAGCCTCCACATGGGCCCGCTCCTCTGGGGACAGCCTAGAGAGGACATGAGGGAGGGGGTAGGTTATGTGGGTTATGGGTTATGGGTTATGCGTTTTACTCATGTCAAACATATGAACAATGGGTACAGCAGGTTTGATATAAAATTCCAGTAGTTGATTTTGAAGAATGTTTCTGAACCACAGAGAAAAGGTTTTGTTTTAATAGTTTTTTCAGAAGGATAAATGGTTTGCATTATAATTTGAAACACACCAACAATACATTTGTTAAGCAAGTGGAATAACACATTCTCCTGCTGTAAGTCCCTCCACAGCATTCCCAACTTGGAAAAACCTTCTACATGACAAGTGGCTAGATGTGCATGTACTGCTTGTAAAGTGTGAGAGTCCATGTGTGCTGCTCTATGCTAGTTTAGTTTCTAGGAAACAGGCAGAGTCATGCGTGTAGTCGGTATGTTTGGAAAGCGAGTGCAATGTGTGTGCCCATGTGTGTGATGGGATCTTACTTGCTGGCCTTTTTAGACAGCAGGAAGACCTGTGTGCTCCTTATGGCTTCAGCCACGTCATCTTTCTTGGCTGCTAGCTGTTCACTGATTGCCTTCAGACAATATAGATGAACAATATACTCAGTGTAGAACAAATACCATTTTCCTTTACAACCTTCATTCAGGTAAGTATACAGTATAAACAGCTACAAGCTTCACAGCACAAACACAGTCTGCTGTTTGCTCAGAACTACAGGAGCTAAAGTATATTAGATTGCCATTGTACCTGTTGAGCAGCAAGTGAAGACTCAGCGCTTGGTCCACCAGTCCGACCCTGGAGGCCTTTGACCCAGCCCAGCAGATCTGAAACCTGGCCGACCCTTGCCTGCTTCTCCTCCTCCAGCTCTTTCTGCACCGAATAAGAGTTTTAAAAGTTATATCTCAAACTATCCAAGTTAATCTACTATTATTAGGTGAATCTGAGAAACAAAACACAGCATTCTGATTGCACTGCAGTTAACACACCTGACCACAAAATCTAACAAACACATATAAAACTCAAATACGTAGCTTACAAATATAAGAACCATAAATAGCTTGACAGCACTTTAAAGAGTGAAGTCTTACCTCTTCTTCTTCGAGTCTTCTCAGTGCATCACTGATGTATTTTACATGCTGGGTTGTCAAGGTGACTAAGGCTGTGTAGCGCGTGCGCAGGTCCATGAACTGGAGAGGGACACCCCCCCCCAAAAAAACAAAAATTACTCAAAAAACAAAACTGTTGCAATACTGATCAAAACAGTAAACTGTTACCTTCCTACCTCCTGAGTGATGGCGTCAGAGGAAGAGTGCATCCTCCTCCTCTTGACAGGTGACTTGTGCGTAGATTCTACGAAGGCTCTGTATGTCATCAGCTGTAGTTCATAGTCCTACAGAACACAGCCACGATGGTACATAAGTAAAAAAATAAATAAATAAAAAACGGCCGTGCAGTCATAATACAGAGAAAGCATATGCATTTACAGTGCACGGGTTCTTGATGGTTTGCGGCACAGAACAAATGTACTGATTACCAAATCATTTGGGTCACTCGTCCAAAAAAACACCATCTACAGTAAACTGTAAAAATCTCCAAAAACTATTTCATGCATTTTAATTCTGTATATTTAAAAACAAACATGCTTTGCTGTAAAAGTACCTTACCTTCACCGAGGTGCAGTACTGTTTGGAGTGAGTCTGGCACTCATCTACTTTGGTCTGGTTCTGTTCAATCTCAGCTACTAATGCCTGAAGAGGAGAATGTGTCAAGAGAAAGTCATTTACATCAAATAGTGTGAAGGTTCAATGTTGTTATCATTCGTTAAAATCAATCCAAGGCATTTTGTTATTCCTCCCAGGCATCCATCTAGCCCATCAAGTCACAGAATGAAGTCAGTGAAATGACCGTTACAAACCGTCTGCTGGGCCAGTTGTTCAGACAGCGCTTTACTGTCTGTCTGTCCAGGTTGTGCGTTTTCTTGTCTCTCTGTCGTCTCTTCGATCCACTTGATCAGAGCAGAGTGGCCGTCTCTGTACTGCTGCAGGGCCGAACCCAGAGCCTCCAGGTCTATTTGTCTGCAGTAAAGCAGAAGACTTTCAGAGCATTTCAAACACAAAAATATTAATTTAATGTGTACGTACAGTGAAGTACTACACAGAGTTTCATATCCAGTGTATTAAAGCATTACAGCTACCTGCTCTATTCAGTTCAGCGGGGAGGAAAAACTCCCTTTAACAGAAGAAACCTCCAACAGAGCCCGACTCTTGGTGGGCGGCTTTCTGCCCATTATAAATTTCTCTAAATACTCAGACATCAGAGCACAGGGTCAGTTCACCCTCACTCTGCCCTAATTAATTTAGTTTATTTATCATACTTTATTAATCCCTGTGTTGGCAGCGCTGTCTGGCCACCAGGGGCAACAGGGGTTCAGTGTCTTGCCCGAGGACACTTCGACATGTGGACTAAAAAGACAGAGAATCAAATCACCAATTTTCCAACTGGGAGACGACCACGCTCCCTCCTGAGCCACAGCCGCCCCGACTTATTATTCCCCTTCCCCAGATGTCTCTTTCTTTTCGTCATGCTCACCGTGTCTCCATTTGTCTCTTGACACTGCTCCACCTCTCTGTCATCTGATTGGCTCGCTCCTGGTAGAGCTCCAGCTCGGGGCTGCGGTCAGGGTGGAGTTTGCTGAGCTGAGACCCTGCCTCTTGGGCACACTGTACCTCCGACTGCAAAGACTGGAAGGTGCTCTCGTGCTCGTCAAGTTCATCCTGCCACTTCTGAAGAGCGATACACCAGCAACCAAAAGAAAAGAAAGAAGAGGACAGAGATGAAAGTTATTGTCAAATTGTTTCACAACGTCTCTTTGGCTGGTCATAAAAGGATTTGATGTGACAGCGTGTTCCCTACCCTGAGCTGTTCCCTGAGGTTCTGAATGGCTGCTGTGGGAACAGTGTCTTCTTCACTTAGTCTGCTCTCGTACTTCCTGACCTGGCTCTCTGCTTCATCCAGGCTGTGAATCAGGATGTCTACTGTCTTTAACCTGAACGGGTAAAGAAAGATGCATAAATTATTCATTTTGCTGGTGAAAACTTCCTATTTCTGACTTCAACGATGCCAGAAGAAGAAATGGCTCACTAACTTTTCTAGATAGGCTGACGAAAGGTTGTGCAGTTTGTCCATCTTCTCCACAGCCTGACTGAGTTCAGACCGGAGAACGGGAACACCAGAGGACGTTGGCTTCTCCTCGAAGAAACTGACGCAGCGGCGGGACACGTCGCCCAGACTGGAGCGCAGGACATCCAACTCTGACCGCAGCTTCTGGAGAGGAAAGATAATTTAAGAAATTAACTGTAGATGATAGAACATGGAGATCAAAATGAGGGGAATATGCTGTTCTCCTGGCACAACAGTAATTAAAACCAAGAATACTACCTGTTTTAACCACTGACAGAATGCTGGTTCACTGTCACTGAACTATTACAATGCTTTACTTCTGGTGCACCTTATTTTATTAGAATATTATAGTTTCCTTCCTTGGGAAAAGTTTAGCAAACACAAATACCAGCAACAATTACTAGACCTATTAAGGCAGATTAATAATTACCATTAATAAAATAATCACATTTCTAATGTTTAAGATTTTTTTTTATTTTTCTTGTGTGAAATCTATGAAGGCATGAGATTTAAATCTTGAATAAATATTAACTTCTTGAAAGATGTGACTGCACATGGCTACCAGCAGAGGAGGCTCAAACTGACCTCTTGCTCTGCAATCTGGACCATGTTGTCAGCGACGTCTGCTGACAACCGCCTAGGGGGTGGGCTCTGAATCCCCCTCATCAGTCTCTGCTCAGCCTCCTTTAGCCGAAGGGTAATGTTCTGCAGCTCTGACAGGTACGATCGAGAGACGGACTCGTCCTTTTCCACTGGAGAGACAGAAGTCAAAGAAAAAAAAGAGAAGAAGAGTTAGTGTGCACACGTACAGTAGCACTGTGGCCATTTGCTTGTTTAATTCAGTTTTAAAAATGGAGTTCATTGTTCAGGTGACAAAATGAAGATCAACATCCTGTGAACTGTGTTTTTATGCTTTGATGCTGAGCTTTATCCTCATACAGTGCCTTAAAGTCATTTTTACTTCTCATGAACAGGCAATGTATCATTAACAGAAGATTTTAGAGGTTTTGTGCAAGCCTACTGTTTGTTTAACTTCAGACAGCGGCTGAAAACACTAACCCACATGTAATGGTGACATTTGACTGCTCTCTCAAAAACAGAACAGAGGAGACTTAACTATCTATGATAAGGATTTTACTACAATTTAAAATTAAGTTCAGTAAACCTAGACCAAATGAATGTCAACGTCTGTCCGGCCTCACCGGTTTCCATGTTGAGCAGCAGGTCCTGGCAGTGCTGCTGGGCCTCCTGAACATCCTTCTCCAGCTCTCGTCTTTCAGCTGGCGTGAACAGAGAGCTCTCTTTGCTGTCAGACAGGAAATCGGACAACAGGGACTCCAAGTGATCCAGGACCTGCTGCCGCTCTGACGGAGACTGACATCGAACCTGTGAGACAGCAGAGCAGAAGAACAGGACAAGGACAAACCAGGTTACCAAAGCAGAGAAGAACCAGAGAGAACAGAGTAAAAAAACAGCTCGTCATAAATGTCTCAGTGTTAATACCACCACCCACACACACAGAGTCTCACCGTGTCCAGGTTCCATCCGGAGACAGTTCTGATGTCTTTGAGCAGGTAGTGCCAAGACACCACACTCTTCATGTTCACATGGAGCTGATGCCACAGAGACATGACCTTCTGGTACAGCTGCTCTGTCCTGTGCACACGCACACACACACACACACACACACACACACACACAAAGAACATACATGTGAATATATAACCACCATGTTGTGACATTTCTATGGGAATCCTGAAATACAGAGTGTAGATGAATGCCAATTTAAAATCGTATTTATTTCTTTAGGGTCTACGTGAGGTGTTGACCGGAAACAGTGGCACCTGCTGTGATAAACCGACTGAGCAGCACGATAAGAAAACTAACACATAATAACATGCTACTCTGCAAATGTGTTGACTTTGATTGATTCAAACCGAATGAACCTGAGGTTGTTGTTTTTTTATGATCTGTGAAATAAGTTTTCACAACGTTAACGTAAATGCAATCACAACAACACTGCTGTTATCCTTGTGGTATCTGTCTGACCTGCTGGCTATGTCGATGGCCTCCTGGTTCGGAGGCGGGATGGTGAAACACACTGAGGGGACCATGGCCTCGTTCCCTGTGGGACTGATCACCTTCCACTTGGTCCTCTGAGAGTTGTCCTCCAGCACACACTCTTCTCCTTGGCTTATTGTGATCTGAGAGGAGGCAGGGGTGCAGAACGGAGGCAGAACCAGAGGGGGGGGCAAAGATGAACATGGCGAGAGGGACAATAAAGACGAGATGGAGAAAGAAAATTAACAAAAAGGCAAGAAGCAAGATTACAAAGTCAGCAAATGGTTAACAAGAAAGATGGCAGACAGGACAAATGAAAAGGGGTCAGATGGAAAAGAGGAAGAAAGCAAGGGAGGTGAAATCAGGGAGGAGAGAAGTGGAAACGTGTAAACCAAAAGCTGAAAGCAACAAACTCAAAGCGACACATTCATGGCTCTTGTGAAGTTAGCAGAAGCCCTAAAATGATGACATTAGAGAACCTGACAAAGGAACAACACCATTTGAAAGCTGCTTTGCACATCTAGGCAGAAAGCTTTTATTGTGAAAGCAGCAAAAATTCTCCAAAATCTGACTTATGATACACGAGTTTCATAAATTCACGTGTGCAGCAATTCACCAACAACAGGAAGAAAATTACTGACACGGTGTTTTAAGAAACCCAGTGCAGGACAAAGAGCTTGGGATTAGGAACTTAAATAAACAGATATAAGGCAAAGCCATGACTGTGGGGAGAGATTTAGGGCTGCAGAGACAAGGCTAGAGGTCTACCTCCTCCCCCATCCTCTCTCACCCCTTCCCTGTACACGCACACACTTCAGTACAGCAATGAAAGCTACGCACACAGAGTAAATGTATAAAATGCAAATCAAAGCTTAATGCTGTGACTTGTTACTGTCTGCCAGACCCTCAGAGGCTGTGGACTGATTCAAGTTAGTTCAGTGGCTGCCACCTGCCCTTATATACTGAGTTCTGTCCAGTACTACTGCTACTCTACTGTAGTCTCCTGCATTTCAGTCTCTTTCAGTCTGCAACTGCATCACTGTTTAAAAGCTCATTAGTAGGTGATTAACAGCTGCAGTGATGCTGCAATGCAAACAGCTCCAGATTAAATCAATGATAGTGATGGTTCTGCATCACTTTATCTTGAGGAGTTGGTGTTAAAGATTTGTTTGTTCATGATCTAAATGACAAACTGTTAAATGTACTAATTTATTTAAGAACTGTAGGCATGGATGATTCATAACACGCCGGGAGGCCGCTGGGCACTGACATGTAAATGTAAATGTACTCAGAGTCTTTCATCGGTCAGCTTCACCTCTAGCATCTTGTTTTACATCAGCTTCAATATGTGCTGGTATTATGATGTACAAAAGGAAACAGCATAACAGGTGGACACACTGAGATGAACCTGCTACCAGTGTTTCTGTGCCCCACCGACCTGGTTATGCTTCTGCCAAACAAATACCTATTTCTTCAAGACAGCTTCATTCTCCTTAAGGTGATCACATTTTCTAATAGGAAGCCTTCACCAATTTTCACCCAAGTGCTGGCCTTCCATTTAGTAATGCACACCTACTGCTTCACTAGTTGTATGATAACACAGTAGGTGTACACCAGACTCACAGTGAGCACAGATTGTACAACTGGTGGAAATTAAATCTGGATATAAAGACAGCTGATAAGAGAGGGGCAGCCACAGCATAGTGTGTACAGTGTAAGAATCTGAGGTGAGAGAGGGATAATATAGGCAGCTATACCTGAACGTTTGTCTTGTCAGCCCAGCCGACAGACGAGAGGAAAGGGAGGTGGATGAGGAGGAGGAAGAAGAGGGAGTGAGAGGGGAGAAGCAAAAAGGTCCATGGGGGTGTGGAGAAAAAGGAGAAGACACAGGAAAGTGAAGGAGAGAAAGATTACTTTTGGTCATGTGCACGTTTGTCCAGAGGTTTGGTGAATATCAGCACACACTGCTTTTAGGTTCAGCACTGTGGCAGATTGCATCTTCCTTTTTTCCTTCAAACTACCTTCCTCCTTCACCTGGACACAACACCTCACATCCAGTCCACTATGATAAACAAACTGGCCCTGAGGAATCTAACACAGCAGCTTTAGAGGTAGGTACACATCCATGCCAAGCTGCTGGAGGGCTAGGTGCTAGCTTTCACCTGAACCTGCAGAGGGGATTGGACAGATGTATAATGGATCAGCTTTTAGATTCCCTGAGGACTTCACAGCGAGAGATTTCACTGGAGTGTTATATAAAAGTAGCACTAGGGGGAAAATAGTCCACAGCTTCATTTCTTCTGTTATTAATATTTACTTCCAAATGTCTTTTGGCTATTTTTGGGATTTTGCAATGATCCGGTCACAGCGGTTTCTGGATCACGATCATTATGCAAATTCAGCTTCAAAATTGAGTGTAGCTATTTGTACTTGCCAGTTAAAATGAAGTGAAAACAGTTGGAACTGTTTACAAAAGAGAAAAATTCCACTGCTGTAATCTATTCATCAGTATGGACCACGTAGGCTGAGCAAAGATTTTGTATATCATCAGTCTAAGAAGGGAGAAAACTGAGTATCACATGTTGAAAGCAGCTAAACCACAGCCACAAGGTGGTCGTGTGGAAGGGTTTGGAGACGACGTGCAGGGTGGACCTGGTTGGTGATGAGGAGGTAGGAGGTCCGTGGTGAGCTGGTGCTGAACAAATATGCTGTGTCACAACCTTCATACAAGAGTTCCTGTATAAACCTTCATTAACACAAGTATCTGACATCTAAGAAGGCGAAAGTAAGATTTCTAGTTTTCCGGTACTAAAATTCTACAGTGACTCTTTGCTGAGAAGAAGGAAATATGCACATCTGCTAAACACTTTGCTCCTGAAGTATAAGATGCGTCAGGTCCTGTACCTCTATTTGTCTGTAGTCACAGATGGCTTTGATGGGTGTCGCAGCTCCCAGGGTGCTCTCTGCACTGTGGGGGCGGAGCTGCACCACTGTCTTGGCCCGGCCCACTAGACTTGCCACAGTACTCCGGTACTCAATCAACTGCTCCTTCTCCTCCTACAGGAAGGGAAAAGTCATGAGACATTCAAACTGTTAATCAAGTCAGGTTCTAGTAAGTCCTACAGTTATAATGTTCTGTCAGTAAGTCAGTCTGTGTATTAACTCTACTGACCCTTTTTATTAACCAGACATCACTTTGCATGCCACAGAACTGGTCATCAAAGTGTGAGTCGGTCACTGTAACAAGGTGTTTCCTGCACTTCCAACTGAAGTAAAGACAAAACAAGAGTCTACAGCCATGCTAGTGGCTCTGTGAGGCTGTGAGCTAACTGCTAATGTCAGCACTACAACATGCTCACAGTGTTAACATGCCAACATTAAATAATTAGCACTAAACATAAAATACAACTGAGGAGATTATTATTATCTGACCATAAAACAAAATACTGGACAAATCTCAGACGTTAATCCAGTTCATCATGATGGGCACATGAATGTCTGCCCCAAAGTTCATGACAATCCATTCAGTAGTTGACATTTCAGAATCACAAATGTTAACCTCAGGATGGTGCTAGAGGAAAAGTCAAGGGATCTCCAAAAGTCAATACGATATCTTGTCTGGGAACCTTGAATGTGTGCACAAAACCGTGTGTCGATCTATCCCTCAGCTGCTGACACAGTTCACTATGAACCGACACTGCCATGCCCAGGCCCACGGTGGTCTATAGCTAAAGGTATTACTCTATGTCCAGCATCTAAATTCATGCAGGACCTGCGAGTTTTAATTAGCCCATTAGCCTGTAGCTCCTGAGATATTTGGACTGATCCAGGTATTTGGTTTACCTTGGACGCTAACCATTAAACCTTTAACCGTGCGCTTCACCCTGTCAGGTAGAAATTACATTTCACCTATGTTTTGCAGCCAGCAGAGTGATTCATTAAGAATTCATCGTCTTCAAACATTACGACAGGCAGAGAAGAGACGTACAGAAGGGAGGAGATAAAAGGAGGAAGAGTTAGAGACGGACTGAGGTAGAGAGAGGGAAACTAAGAGGATGAATTTCACACTGAGATGACATTCACTGCAGTTGGCAACACTGTCATAGCAAGTCAACTGACAAACAATTTACAGAGACTAAATGTGGGCACGTGAACTCACCTAATTACAATTTGTCTGTAAGAGAAGCATGGCTTCACTGTGTTTTCTTAAAGAGTACTAGAAAAAGAATCTGGCCAAGTAAGTTGGTTTAGGTGTGATGACTCCATTATTACATTTAGTAAGATGTTTGTATGTGTAGATGTAGCAAATTAATATTCAGTGATGCACAAACACTCATGAAATCTAACCATATAAAAAAATGTATATGTAAACAAAGATGAGACAAAGTGAGGTCAGAAGTGAACAAACAGCCTAATTTAAACCCTAATCTGCTCGAAGAGGGTGAAACAGTTGATAAGTGATCAAACAGCCTAATTTAAACCCTAATCTGCTCGAAGAGGGTGAAACAGTTGATTTAATATCCTTTTCTCAGTTACTATCTGAGACAAACAAAAGGTGAAGCTGCCTGGTTTCTGTCATTCAGAAGTGTTTACAGTATCAGCTTTCCCCTGAGATGGAGCCCGGTGAACTGGAAACTTCATTAACTGGAGCTGGAAACTGATTAACACACACGCATCGCACCAACAAAAGCACATGCAAACACAGATGTAAACGCATGAGATAGCATGCGAATATACCCAGATCGGTGAGGAGCAGCTGTTTGTGACACACACATTCACGCAGTTATTGGGAGGATATGCTCACTGCTGCGGCCTGTGGAGCGCCGCCCACACTAACTCTGCCATCTGCTAAAGTCAGACGCGTGTGTGTTTGTGTGTAAGCTAGGTGTGAAGATGGCACTTTCACAAATGTGCCACCATGAGGATGATTCAGCGACACACTTATTTCACCCTGTCATGCAGCATGCTGCAGCTGCCTGAGGCAGAGCACAACAGTCGGTAGGACAGTCATGTCATTCCTGTTAAAACCTCAGTCCAGGAGTATTTCAGAGATGTCATGTTTGTACTGGTGGCATCAAACGTGCATATGCTCCCTAAAACTGTTTAGCTACATTCACTTTTTTCTAATGTTTTTAGTTGAATCTTGCTCCAAAACAAATCTTTATGTGAAGAGGAACTGTCAAGAGCTTCTGTGACCCAGACTCAGTAGGTGAATCCTAGTTCCTTTATTTTATTGTTCCTTGGCCCTCGCTCGACCTGGAAGTCGTTCTGGTCCGCCATGATGAAGGACATCCCAAAGCTCTGAGGAGTGAGGAAGCTGCCTGGAGGAGCTATAACCAAGGACACGAGAGCATCCTTCGCACAAGTCTGTTACAAATTGACATGCCCCTTTGTCAGAAATCACTGCGTGATTGGAAGCTTCAAATGAGGACTCAAGGAAAGGATGCATTTCCTGGCTTCCTCTGTCCTCACAGTTTCTCCAGGCATCTCCTCCTTGCATCTTACGTGGGCAGGACTAAGATGCAAGTGAGGGAAATGGATGCAATTAATTGAATTTGGATTCACCTGGTGAACAGACTGGAGGGAAGCTCACAGCTGTCAATCAATAAGTGATCTTTATATTATTGCAGACAAAACAACATCCAGTTCAAACATCTTAAAGAGAATCCACTTATAACATATTGCAGGTTTAAATATTTTATATAGTAAGACTTTTTTGAAGGGAAACAGGACAAAACTCTGTTCCCCTTGTTTCCTGTCCCAGTTCAAACTGTAGATTAAGTCGGAGATGAGAAACTGAAGGAGAACAGATACCATGGAATCCTGCAGCAGGTCTTCCAGTTTGCTCAGTCTGCTGTTCTTGTCACAGGTGTACTGTCTCTTAATGGTCTCCTGGAGCTGGCGCAGGTATGATTCGCAGTCCCGAGCATCACTCATGAACTGACAAAAGACAGAAAAATAAAGGCATCAAAACAATTTTCACAGGAGCCTGCTGAGGACACAAAACATGAATTATTTTTTACACAACAGTTTTGACAAGCGGAAGAGAACGTCTATATATATCTTGTAGATTCATTTATTTTATGAATTCTGAGTTTGAAAGTTACATTTCTGCTGATCATTCAAGACTGTACTACTACTTTGCCTGGCAGATGTCTTACCTGGAAGTACGCAGTGTTGTCTTTGAGATGTTGCTCTACACACACACACAGCTGGTCCACCCACTGGCCCTGAGTCTGCAGGGCTGCACTGTACGCCTGCACGTACAGGACGATGGACACAGGGAGAACGTTTGTGACACACTGCAGATTTATTCAAATTATTTTAGACCAGCAAAGATAAAGCTACGCACTTCATGGGCAGCTTCTTGGGTCAGTGGTCTTCTAAATTATATAACCAAAATGAAAACCAAGACCTAAGTCAGTTTTCTTATTCCTGCATTTTGCATTGTCAAGTAATAATTTTTGTCATTCAATGTTTCTGGTAGAAGCAACTCCCACTGGTTGCCAATGAGGTTTAAAAGAGGACACGTACTGTAGTTTTACCTGCTGACCGTTTGAATGCATGTGCAACAAAACATCAAAGTGCACGGTCAAGTGAAAGGAGGAGCATTTTAAAGGTCACAGAGGCAAAACCCACCATCTTTAATAGTAAGATGTTTGTATGTGTAGATGTAGCAAATTAATATTCAGTGATGCACAAACACTCATGAAATCTAACCATATAAAAAAATGTATATGTAAACAAAGATGAGACAAAGTGAGGTCAGGAGTGATCAAAAGTGATCAAACAGCCTAGTTTAAACCCTAATCTGCTCGAAGAGGGTGAAACAGTTGATTCAATATCCTTTTCTCAGTTACTATCTGAGACAAACAAAAGGTGAAGCTGCCTGGTTTCTGTCATTCAGAAGTGTTTACAGTATCAGCTTTCCCCTGAGATGGAGCCCGGTGAACTGGAAACTTCATTAACTGGAGCTGGAAACTGATTAACACACACGCATCGCACCAACAAAAGCACATGCAAACACAGATGTAAACGCATGAGATAGCATGCGAATATACCCAGATCGGTGAGGAGCAGCTGTTTGTGACACACAGACAGAACAATGCTGACAGTACCCAGATTGGTGAGGAGCAGCTGTTTGTGACACACACATTCACACAGTTATTGGGAGGATATGCTCACTGCTGCGGCCTGTGGAGCGCCGCCCACACTAACTCTGCCATCTGCTAAAGTCAGACGCGTGTGTGTTTGTGTGTAAGCTAGGTGTGAAGATGGCACTTTCACAAATGTGCCACCATGAGGATGATTCAGCGACACACTTATTTCACCCTGTCATGCAGCATGCTGCAGCTGCCTGAGGCAGAGCACAACAGTCGGTAGGACAGTCATGTCATTCCTGTTAAAACCTCAGTCCAGGAGTATTTCAGAGATGTCATGTTTGTACTGGTGGCATCAAACGTGCATATGCTCCCTAAAACTGTTTAGCTACATTCACTTTTTTCTAATGTTTTTAGTTGAATCTTGCTCCAAAACAAATCTTTATGTGAAGAGGAACTGTCAAGAGCTTCTGTGACCCAGACTCAGTAGGTGAATCCTAGTTCCTTTATTTTATTGTTCCTTGGCCCTCGCTCGACCTGGAAGTCGTTCTGGTCCGCCATGATGAAGGACATCCCAAAGCTCTGAGGAGTGAGGAAGCTGCCTGGAGGAGCTATAACCAAGGACACGAGAGCATCCTTCGCACAAGTCTGTTACAAATTGACATGCCCCTTTGTCAGAAATCACTGCGTGATTGGAAGCTTCAAATGAGGACGTCAGAAATCATTGCGTGATTGGAAGCTTCAAATGAGGACTCAAGGAAAGGATGCATTTCCTGGCTTCCTCTGTCCTCACAGTTTCTCCAGGCATCTCCTCCTTGCATCTTACGTGGGCAGGACTAAGATGCAAGTGAGGGAAATGGATGCAATTAATTGAATTTGGATTCACCTGGTGAACAGACTGGAGGGAAGCTCACAGCTGTCAATCAATAAGTGATCTTTATATTATTGCAGACAAAACAACATCCAGTTCAAACATCTTAAAGAGAATCCACTTATAACATATTGCAGGTTTAAATATTTTATATAGTAAGACTTTTTTGAAGGGAAACAGGACAAAACTCTGTTCCCCTTGTTTCCTGTCCCAGTTCAAACTGTAGATTAAGTCGGAGATGAGAAACTGAAGGAGAACAGATACCATGGAATCCTGCAGCAGGTCTTCCAGTTTGCTCAGTCTGCTGTTCTTGTCACAGGTGTACTGTCTCTTAATGGTCTCCTGGAGCTGGCGCAGGTATGATTCGCAGTCCCGAGCATCACTCATGAACTGACAAAAGACAGAAAAATAAAGGCATCAAAACAATTTTCACAGGAGCCTGCTGAGGACACAAAACATGAATTATTTTTTACACAACAGTTTTGACAAGCGGAAGAGAACGTCTATATATATCTTGTAGATTCATTTATTTTATGAATTCTGAGTTTGAAAGTTACATTTCTGCTGATCATTCAAGACTGTACTACTACTTTGCCTGGCAGATGTCTTACCTGGAAGTACGCAGTGTTGTCTTTGAGATGTTGCTCTACACACACACACAGCTGGTCCACCCACTGGCCCTGAGTCTGCAGGGCTGCACTGTACGCCTGCACGTACAGGACGATGGACACAGGGAGAACGTTTGTGACACACTGCAGATTTATTCAAATTATTTTAGACCAGCAAAGATAAAGCTACGCACTTCATGGGCAGCTTCTTGGGTCAGTGGTCTTCTAAATTATATAACCAAAATGAAAACCAAGACCTAAGTCAGTTTTCTTATTCCTGCATTTTGCATTGTCAAGTAATAATTTTTGTCATTCAATGTTTCTGGTAGAAGCAACTCCCACTGGTTGCCAATGAGGTTTAAAAGAGGACACGTACTGTAGTTTTACCTGCTGACCGTTTGAATGCATGTGCAACAAAACATCAAAGTGCACGGTCAAGTGAAAGGAGGAGCATTTTAAAGGTCACAGAGGCAAAACCCACCATCTTTAAAGGTCATTGACCCAAGTGAATTAAATCATAATCTCACCTCCACGGTCTGTTTGGCAGGATGGTTCTCCTGGCACAGACGGTTGGCCGTTTCCTGGAGTGACCGCATCACATCTCGTTTTTCATCCAGCTCTAACCTCATTTCCTGTAAGCAGAACAGAAAAAGGACGATGGCTATGATGATGATGATGACAGGGTTTTACAACGCTGGTCTCCGATCATTAATTCTGAGCTCTGATGTTCTGTGTGTGGAAAAAAGCTGTGCTTTGTAGAAACTGTGAGTAGAGCTTGTTTCATGTTTCCATGTTGCTTTTCTTTGCATAATATATATTTTTTCTGTAAAATTTCAGAGGTTTGTGCTCTGTAATTCGGTGTTTTCTGATCTGACAAAGGAAACCACTATGGCTTATATGTCAGTTTCACCCTCACTCACGCTGAATAATTCTCTCTTGGCATTCATGTTGGTGTTGTTGTCACTCCAGTCGTACGCAATTTCCTCCTCCTCCCTCTCGTTGAGCCAGATCAGCTCCTCAGTGCAGTGCAACACAAACGCATGCAGGCTCTCCAAGCTCCGCAGGCGCCATGACGAATGTTCCTTTAGCAACCACATAAACAAACATCATCATCAGGCTGAACAGCAGTGCAGAGAGAAATAAAAATAAAACCACATGTCCTCTCTCGTCTGGTAGTTTATACTATTGCTTTGCTGCATTTATAAGGATTATAAGCAAAATCTTGTGAACATGACATCAGAGCAGGAAACTAACAGCAGAGACAAATCACTGAAGTGCCCATTAAATGTAAATTAGAGGCATTTATTAAACCATTTTACTTCCACTTTTTTGTGCTTCTCATAACAAGAAAACATGTTCCAGAAAGTCATTTCTCTAACTTGCACTGTAACTTCTTCTGTTACAAGTGCATGTGTTCGCACATACAATCCATCAAAAAACCTCCAGCCATAAAGAAACTACATGAACTGACCATCAATGAACTGAGAGTAGAATTCAAGAGCACAGGAGTCCTGTCATGCTATAATGGGATTAACTGAGGTGGGGGTGAACTGGGAAACAAAGAAGGGTGATACTAAAGACACATCCACAGGTCTGTGAGCGAGACTGACCAGCAGTTTGCAGTACTGGTGCTCCAGCTTGGCCAGGGTTTCAGAGTAACTGCTCTTGAAGTTGGGAGAGACTTTAGCCTGAAGAAGAGGACAGGATGGCTTTGTTACAAACCACAGCTCTCAGCAGAAACCTCTGTGTTCATGTGTAAGTCCTGTGTGCGAACCTCGTAGCTGTGTGCCTCCTGCAGGCCGCTCATTAGTTCTTCGACTGCGGTGTGTATATTGTTGTGCTCTTGAAGGTTGTTTTCCACAGAGGGTAGGTCAGCCCCCCATTCAGCTCGCTCTAAAAGATCCTGAAACACAAGCACAGGTCAAGATCACTTTAAAGAACAAAGCATTACTTCTTGTTTCATAGTATTTTTTACAGAGTCTAGCAGCCACTTCATGAAGTGGCCATTTTTTCTCTATTTCCTAAGAGAGTAATCACCAGATAATGAAAACTATTCCATTTAAACATTACGGAGACCGACCTGTGTCTCCTCCACCCATCCGAGCAGCTCATAGATGAACCTCAGGCTTCCTTCATCCTCTGATGAAGACATGGCCACTAGCTGGGAGCGGGCCATTGGTCGCCGCAGAAGCGCGGCTCCCACAACCCCCTCAGCTCCCAGCAGTGTCGGTCCCAGTGACAAGCCGCTGTCAGGGGCTCGCCCGGCCAGTGGCTCGCTGGCCGGTGCGCTCTGGTCCGGTGCTGCCCAGGGATGGAGAGAAATGTCCTTTCCTGTAGACACTGGAGCACTGCAGCCTGAGGGAGACCAGCTCCTCTTGAAGGAAGGATGCTCTGGTGGTGAGGGACAAAGATATGTAGTTACTGAAGGGAAGACTGCTGTGATTCTAAGAGGTGATCCTCACTTAAAGTCTCCTATAAAATCAGAAAACCATTAGAATCAAGTGCCTTAAATAGTTCAATATAGGAGAACTAACAAAAGAACAGAGCTCTGTATTTTTGTGGGGTTTCTGTGCAAAATGTTAAAAGGAAAACAGTCAAATAATGCTAATTTTCTGACTAATAATAGAGACAATCACACAATGGCCGCTTTGCGACATAGCTGCTTCATTAAGTGTCCTAATGGAGCAAGTCAATGAGCCAGAAAACATGGATCCTCTTTCCATGTCTGACAGCACTGATTTACATCACAGCACCTTTGTGCACTTGACAAACACTAGAAGGTAAAACACAATAACTATAGCAGCTAATTACAGGATTTAATGGCAAGACAATGTACAATGTAATACAAATGTAATGAGCCTTCTGCATTCCATGTCAACAAACTGAAACGTCTATAATACACTGATTACTTATACAAGGACTACTTTGATAGTTTTATAAAAGTCTACAGATTCAACACAATCAGCCTTTTCTCTCCCGACTCACCTGAACGCCAGCTGCTCCACCTGGTAGTACTTCTCATCTCTGAGGACTTTGAGCTCCTGGTTAAGTTGCCCGATCAGAGCCTCACAGTCTTGCAGGTAGCAGGCCAGCTCTCTCTCACACTGCACCGCCTCGCCACTCTCCACTCGAGACATGTCCTGGACAACACAAGGGCTTTTTTTTGTTTGTTTGCTTTGCTTATGGATTAAGGTGCTTTATTTGTTTATTTTTTTACAAAGTTGGATGTTCTAAAGTTTAGCATCTCCCTGAGGCTCAGATTCAGTAAACAATACAGTGAAACCAAAGCAAGCCTTATGAGAAAAAGTGGGCTCTTACAGCAGGAAACACCAACAGGATTAATAGAGGGCAAATATGAAAATGAAAAATGGGGGTTTAAATTCTATAGTTAATAGCTGGAAAGACCTGCTGATCATCAATTATTTTGACAAATTTGAAACCCCAAAACACAGAGCTTTCTGTGTCCATGACAATGGGCAGAGGGAAGAGTCTTTGTTTGCAGAAAGCAGGAAAACTGTAAATATTTATTGTCCCAGAAGGGAACTTGCTTTTATAGCCTGTTAAAATTAACGCACTGTAAATCCAACATTTACCCAATGTAAACCCAAGGACCCCGCATGTGTGTGTGTGTGTGTGTGTGTGTGTGTGTGTGTGGGGAAATGAAAAGGGTGGAAGATGAGAGAGGGCCGGTACTCACAGCCTGGAGTGTGTTCTTAGCGAGGGTGAGCTTCTCCTCACAGTCCAGTGCCATGTTCTGGATCTTGTTGGCTCTCTGAAGCAGCAGCTCTAACCTGAAAACACACACACAAACATGGAGGGTGAAGGGCCGTGAAAATCACATTTGATAAGAAAATTAATGCAACGACTTGCATCAGCAGTCCGATTTAATACCGAGTACCCTGCTGTGTGTGTTGAGTGTGTGTTGAGTGTGCCTACCGCTCCACGGCTGGCCGCAGGGCCTTCTCTCTCTCCAGCATCTCCAGGATAAGTTTGCCCCATTCCTCCTCCAGGTCATTAGGATGGAGGCCCGGAGGAAGCTTAATACGACCAAACTCGAACCACACCTGGACACACACGGGTTAAATATACACTTAACATCCCATCATGCTTCAGTGCAAGTGCACATGTTGGTAAAACACACAGACACTAACATGACTGAAAGACTCCATTAGACCAGAGTTATAGTTCATGGGTAAACATTAGATCACACCGCAGACAAACACTGAGTAAGAATAAAGGAGGTCCTGTTATCAGCTACTGTGTGTGTGGGTGTGTGTATGTGTTCAACCACACAATCTACTGCATTGATAATAGTGTTACAACGGAAATGACTTCTCTTTCAGGAGACGACTGTATGATGCAACTTGGACAAACATCAATAACTCTCTCCTCGACATCGGACTAATCCTCCTGAGCTGAACCCCAACGTGACACAATGAGCTCTGCACACCGTGCAAAACACTGGTCACCGTTTCCTCCAACACAACTCTGCTCCTTTATCCATCTGTTCATTCTCACCTCCAGCAGCTTGTAGAGGTGCTCGATGTGACCTTTCTCCATCTCCTTCACAGGGATCTCCGTCTCTTTGAAATGGACGTACTCGTTGTAAAGTGCCTGAAGGAGAAGAGAAACAGAAGCTGCTGATAAGGGTTCTGGGCTCAGTCCGACCACAGGCTTTGTTTAAGGTCAAACACAAAGCCAACACCCGTCATCAAACCTTCGTAATCACAGCCTCTCTCCCTGGGTGGTTATTAGCCGGTTTGTCTACAGTCATTTGAAGCTACATATTTGACTGCTTCATGTCCCTCCCTCCTCTCCTCTTGTCTTTGGACATCATGTCAACCATTATTTCGATTAGAGCAGCATCCTTTTTCATAGTTGTCCTTTCTCCTTTAACGTCACACTCCTCTACTGCAAACTAATTCACTGATTCTTCACTCATTCTTCTTTTAATCAAATTCTTCACTCTCTCTCTCTCATTGTTATCCACTTTATTAAACCCCTGTCCTTCCTTCACTGCCTCTCTCCCTTTGTCTGTCCTCTCTGGGTTTTATAGAAAGTGCTTGTCACCTCCTTTATTCTGGAAACATGGTGGTGGAACTGAAAAGACAAAGCTGAGACAGCATACATTCCCATTACAGTCGGTCCTGTTGCATTGAGATCATTTGATTTACACCTGATTTAATGCACCTATGTCTGTATGTCACCAATTTTCACAAACCTTAATGTTAATGTTGCCTTGAGGGTTACCGGCCCCTTCAACATACAAGGAGTTTAGTGGATTCCCTCAAACTTTTCTCCCTGTTTATGCGAACGCGATCTCTGATACCAATTTATCTCAAAAGTAAAAGAAACAGGATGAAAAAATGTTTTAAATAAACAAATACTGTGTGCCCACCTTGAGTTCTACAGGGTTTTGTGGGAAGTTCTTGTTGGCCATGAGGGCCGTATGCTGGCGGCTCCACTGGAGCAGAGAGGAGAACCGGGACTGGTACTCTGACCAGCGCTGCTCCACCTCCTGATGGAGGCAAAGATGACAGTAGTTAGTTCTCAATGGAAACAGACAAAAAACATCATCATTTTACAGAAAGTACGATAATGACATCATTATTTGAAAGTTCCAGGTCATTACTCATGAAGCTGCACAAAATGGAAATAACACGAAGTGTGAAATGAACCTGCTGAAAACAGCACTGTATGCTGTAAACGGTACTGCATGCATTTTATCAGCTACCCTGAAGATGAACACATTACAGGCTATAATGTACAAACACAGCAACACCAGTGCCGAATCCATCTATAATGAGCTCTAAGTTAGAAACAGCTGCACAGGAGCAGAATATAAAGACACACATGTGCGAGGATGCCCTCTCCACCCTCGGGGATCTTGGGGAAGGCATCATAGATGGAGGAGACATAGGTGATGACCGACTTCTCATCTGGAGATGGAACATCAACATCTGAGGAAAAAGAGAAGGAAATTAGAGACGACAGAAAACCTGCAAAAAGCAAGCAGACGGATCTATCATAATAATAATATGACTTCCAAAGTGCAAAGTTTCCAAATCACACGTGGCTCGGAATGAAACTTTGAGTAAACCATAACATATTTAGGGACTAAAACCTTGGCAACAACTTAACAATTTAACAAAATTAAACCATCACTGAGAGAGATATAGAGGGGACAGTCAAACCCCTTGAAACCACATTATCCATGTGTTTTTCTGAGCTGGCTGATTGCTGGATGTAGCATTAATAGTTTAGCAACACAGCAACAGAAGGAATACACAATGACACTTACTTCCTAAGTGGCAGGAAACATAAGGCGATATCAGTCAAGCATTCAACAGTGTGCCACACTTCCAGCTGACAAACTAGGCTCAGAGGACTCAAGAGGTCAACATCAGCTAAAATCAATGGCCTGTGATGAGTGGATTTTAATGGGTTTGTGTGGGAAAAATATAAAATATAGGGCCATAAAGAGAGTCCACAGATGCAGGGAGGATGTAACACATCAAGGCTAGAGATATAAACATTGTATTTGTTAGTCAGTTATTAGGACTGCCTGGCACGTTTGTAGACAGTAGAACCTTTATAACCAGCCTAGATAACACGTAGCTGCTGACATTTTCTACAGGTTACACATTAAGTTTCCCAAGATGAAAACTCAGCAGAAAAAGCTCAGTTATTAAAACAGTGACTCTCCAAAATTCAGCCTCTGTTCTGTCCTGAACAGCCAGGGAGGCAGTCGCTCAGTGCATTCATTCAGATTTACAGTCTCACCCTCGGCGTCCAGCAGTCTGGTCACCCCTAACGACTCGGCAATCTCGAAGGCCTGCTCCAGGTTCTCACGGTTACTCTGCTGCGACACCACTTCCATGTTGATCAGGTCTGGCCTGGAAAAAACACACGAGGGGGGGGGCATTGTACTTGGCTTTGATGCTGCTGTCTATCCAGCTGCTGCTGCGCATGTTAAACCAGAATATCTCTGCTGTGTGTTTTGTTTAAAACGCTAACATTCTTATTTGGAAATTAACGTCTGAAACATCCCCTTATGAATCTTTGGTTAAAGCACCACCCAGGGCAGAATGACGCCTGGGTTGTTTGAGCAGTTCTTTACCTAATATACCTGCATTAAGTGATTTTCTCCATTTTGAGCTGTTTAACTCAGCCTGGATATGAATGACTGCTGACTCAAACACTCGACGTCAATGGGATCAACCTTTTTGCAGTCGGACTAGAACACCACCGAATGCTAGAAAAGGTGACACCATCTCTAACCTGAATCTGTGCAGCAGAGCTAGGAACATGCGCCCGTCGCTCCATGATGAGGTGAAGTTGACACAGCGGAGGCCGGGGTAGCCGTCTGTCGCCTGCTGGCTCCATAACAACAGCTTCTCTTTGGCTGTGAGGTCACCTGACTCACCGCTCACATAGATTTCTGAAATCTGAAGGGAACGGAGAGAAAGCAGGGTTTGCTATTGTGACTTGCCACTGCCTGTCTGCAGCAGAATGATCAGAAGAACAAAGTAACACAGGAAAAAGAAAACAGTAATTATCTGTTGAGCTGCTGTTGCCAAATGTACAGAAACAAACTGAACTTCAAGTCCACACTCCTGATGCTACTGCAGAACTAATTAACATCAAAAATATCATACAGATGCTTTCAGGATTTCTCCACATTTATTAAGCTCGGTCTCGATGCATTCACACAATCTGGCAACACAGACAAAATGAGCTTTACAGTTCCAAACAGTCCCCTCCAAACACACACAATGAGTCAGCAGAAACAGCTTTGACTCTGTGAGAGACCTGGATTTGAACAGTGCCTCACATTTGTCTTGCTGATATTCAATAACAGTGTGTGTGAGAAAACATGGAGGAATTAGTTAAGGAAATCTGACTGCTTGTATTTGTATATTTATGTACCATTTTTTCCTGTGCCCCCCTCTGTCATCTACAGTCTAGGCTGCTTATTACCATGTCCCTCTCTGGCTCCTCCTGCCTCGCCCTCCCCTACCTCGATCTGTCTCTTCAGTTTTTCACTTTCTTACATCTGTTTTGCTCCTTGATCAGTCTGCCTCGTGTTCTCAACATCTGCCTCTTCTACCTTTCATTTTCAATTATCGGTTTTTAAAAAGTACATTTTCCTGGTTCTTTAAGCGTCTTTAAGTTCTTCATAATTCTTGGGGCTCCTGTGCTCCTGGAAGGACATGCTTATTTACTAGTGGTGAGTCTGAAGAGAAACCAGGCTGACAGCTGTTTTATCTGTGTCCCATGCCCACTGAGCTACGAGACCACTTTGGCCATTTCCCCTCTGCGTCTGTAAGGCCAAGAGTCTACAGCGACAAAGGCAGAGTGATGTACATGCAGTAACTGTCTGCGTTTGGCTGCTCTTACTCTCATCAGTAATCTTCTGTTAACCCCTCCTTCCCTCTCTCCCTGTCTTTCTGTCCCATTCTCTCTCCCTGATGCTGATAAAGAGCAGTATGCAAGTCCAGTGTGTGCCAAGGGACTGCAGTAACAGCCAGACAGAAGGTGAGAGAAGGAGAGAAATGAGACGAAGAAGAGTTTCAAGGCTATGGAGCTCTGATTCTCTACATCATCTACAACCTCCTTTAGAGAAAATTACAGAGCATCTCATTTTCCATCTGAATACTGATCCAGAACTGTGTGTGAGAGCTGCAACAGTAACTCATCCCCCCTCTGGCTGATGAGCTTTTCTGCCTTATTCCAACTTTATGAAGGTGGTTCAGGTGATTCAAACACACATTGATAGATTCTAGCAACAACAGAGCTGTGATAAAATATCTTAAGCTCAAAGTTCATTGGCTTTCTGAGGAAAGCAAATGCAGCTTGTTAGACCAAATGACAGAACTTTGGCAGAGGTCAAAATCTCCTCAAAAACCCAGGGAACCTTGAGTTCAGAACATTTTATACATGTACATGTTCTCAGGGATCTGCTCCTAAAAGGAGTAGGAGGATGAATGTGCAACTTAAATCCCTTATTATAAAAAGATGAGCATCCCAAACCAGCTTCAAAAAGGCAGATGCACTTTAAACTGAATGCATGAACATCCTGACACACACCTCTCATGACACAGGAAAACACACATGAGACAAGAGTACCGAATACAGCTTCCCAGTGAAACACACTAGAGCAGGGATCTCTGTCGAGCCCATGACTCAGCAGCAACTGTGCACCAGTGAGACACCAAACACTGAACACAGCCTGACATGACGTCAGCTGCTGTGCTGCCTTTATAATGTGGAGGAGAAGTGAACAAACTGTGGCACCTATAATCTGCTGTTACTGCAGTGGCTGCAGCAGCCTTTTCATTTTCAAGGTGAACGAGAGCTGAACAGCTGCAAGCTAGCACACAAAAATTCACTCTCTCTGATCAACCCTGCCCAAACATGAAGACACACTGGACGATGAGATAAGCTGAGGTGCATGCGGCTATGTCTACACAGCATATGCCTTGCAACACACTGAGATCATGTTCCAGTAATAATTAACGCCCTTTACTCAAACTCAACACATCTTATGGGTGAATGACGGTATTGACTTTGAAGCATCACTAATGAAATAATAACCAACCTCAGTCAAGATGTGTCTGTAGCACTGTGTAACAAAAGCTGAAATTAAATGTCTAGTAAGAGTCCTAATTGCATCTATGTATTATTCATTGATCAGATAGTTCCACATTTCCCCATTGTTGGGCTTTTTTTTAAATCATAGGTTAATGTGCGATCGTGTTTTATCAGTCCTGTCTGAAAGCCTGACATCATATCAGCACTTGTACAAGCAAAAAAAGAACATACTAAAGACAGGCAAATGTGATACAGAAAGATTAAATCACTCGCAGAATATGATGGCTAGTAATAATGTTAAACTCACTCATCTCACTCTTCTGCTTATCACTAACCTGAACCTTTTCTAGTCAAAGCCACCACAGCTGTACAGACTGACATGCTGTAGTTGTACTGTGTGGCTCTGAACTTGTGGGAAAAGACATGTTTCAGTTTGCACCAGCAGGGAACCCTGTCATTTACAGTAATGACCCTTCTATCTCGCGCACAAACGCACAGACTGTCCATCGCTCACACTCTAACAGACGTCAGCAGTGAGAGAGTATGTGTAGTGGGAGGAAAACAACTAGCAATGGAGAAAAGGGAGGGAGGGAAACAAGGATATGGGGAAAGAATTATAGAGAGACCGTCTGCACTGAACTGATTAGGCTGTGGGGGCAGAGGCGGAAAGAAGGGAGAGACACGTAACATCTTTCAAGAGCTGATAACACAACCACAAACATTGGCGCACAAATGACAACAAAGGCACCCTCCATTAACCCACATACATACAAATCAAAAATATATTATGTTTATATCGCTTCCTCATGGTCCGGTAGCAAATGTTCAATGATCCAGTACTGGTCAGCAGCCCAGGGGTTGGGAACCCCTCGATTAACCAACCAGCAGTTGAAATACAAGTCAGGACAGAGAAAAAAGATAAAGCTTTGAGAGAATAACTGAAGGATCTGATTGTGGACGACAGGACACAAACCTGGGGTAGGTATTTTACAGCTGCCTGTTGCTGCGGTGACAGCGGACTTTCCATCACGGAGTCCAGCCTCTCTGACGAGCTACTGGTCAGCCCCCCCCAGTCTGTCTGACTGGGAGTGGTGCCTGCTGTTTCTGGAGAGGTCAGAGGCAGGTCGCTAGCATAACCTGACTCCAAAAGAGGCGACCTCTGTTGTGTATAGGCCGGAGAGTCCAACCTAAATCCCCTGACAGACGGAGTCTCCTTAATTGGCAATTGATTAGAGGACCTGGGGAACTCCCCCGCAGACCTTCTGGCACTACTGTCACCCTGCTGAGACAGTAGGACTTGGAGAATATTTCCTGTGACTGGAGATGGGGCAGGAGGCTCTTTGCACACCTCTGCCTCACTCTCAGTATCACCTTTCCACACTGGAGAGCCGTAGTCACTGGGGTACACCGTCCTCACCACACAGAGTTTACCATCCACCTCTCGGATATGAACCACACCTTTGTGCTCCCGCTCCAAAGGTGTCTGCACCAACCCCAGTGTCCCCTCTGTTCCTCTTTTGTCCCCTTCATGCACCTTTTCCTCTTCCTCTACTCTCCCCTTGTCTCTTTTCTCCTTCTGTTGGAGGATCCAAGGTTTCTCTACGACTCCTTGGGCTTTCTCCCTCACACGACACACTCTCCCTCCACCTGGAGTGGTACTGCCCAGTGTGGGGGCTGTGTTGACTGGCGTGGTCATGGTGGTTTGGCTTGGGATACTGGAGACATCTATGATTGCGCTGACAGTGTCTTCCTCCCCTGGAAGACAGAATACCCCTTTCCAGGCTGGGCTGGGCTTGGGGGACACTTCAAGCATTCTATTGACCAGAAGGCCCCCTACAGTGGCAATCGAAGAGCCAGGAGAGAGAGTATTGCTTTGTGGATTACTTTTGGAATGAGCTGACTTGGAATCGGGCACCATCATAGGAGTCCTAGCTCCGAGGCTAAAATCTGAGTCTACTGTTTCTACAACTGCAGCTTTTTCTTCCTCGTCTTCATCAGGATCATGGCTCCTTTGTTGCTCATAGTCCTCTTGTTCTACCGTTCCTTTCTTGTTTCTCTTGCCCTTGTGTTTACGCCTGAAATGTAGACGCTTCTTTGGGGAACGCGGGGGGGCTCCGTTGAGTTCCCTGTCCCGAGCAAGCCTGACACATCCCATGGAGTTCCCCATGTCTTTGATGTTGACAGAGGAAGTAGAAAAACAAGAGCAAATGCAGGCAGTTAATCCATCAGAGTGGCCCAATAACATTCATATAAGTGTGCACATTTATTCCAGTGGCCTGAGAGCAAAATCCCATCGCTCACAAAACAAGAGTGGAGAGGAGAAGTTCAACTGACAGCTGCTTCATCAAGCTGACACCTGGGAGCAATGTAAAGTTAGGAGGAACAGGTTTAGCTCCATGTTCCATGGCACAATATTAAATACAACCCAGCGAATAAAAAGATAGAGGGTGTCACCCAAGGAGAGACAGGGAAAGCCCGGTTTTTTCCTTCAGGGAGTAATTGGTCCAGGCAGGCAGCTGCAGGCCGACTTGTCACCGCTGCCCCATCATTCCCATTTCCTTTATGTCACCTTAGTTGGACTCAGGCAGTGTAGCGGCCAGCTCTGCTCTCTCTAAGGACCCTGCTGGATGTTTTACTTGCTCTGTTTTCTCAATCCCACAGGACCTACGGTTTCCGTCAAGGTCACAAGGATTGAGTTATGTCCAGAGCCACGCAGAGGAGAAAAATAAATCTGGTCAGGGTCAGGCATGTGGTTTATCACTGGGCAGGTGAGCTGTTGCCTGGTGTCGGGCAATATGTTGGGAAGGATGAGGAGTGTGAGACAGAGAAAAATATAATACAGTGCTGTTCAGTC